TGAGGGGAGCAGCGGGCGGGTCAGGAGAGGTCTGCCATGCCATGTGGTCACCTCCGGGGCAGGCAGGAATCGAACTCATGCGGAAGTGGCTTTTGCCTCTTGGTGCAGTGCTTTAATCCGCTGCACCACCAGGGAGGGCCTCTTTGTAATTTTTATTTTCAAAAATTACTTGTTTTTTCTTACAATTTTTTATTTATACTAGCCTCCCAATTAGTTGGAGAGCGTTTCTTCTTTTTCTGTGTTCCAGAACATTTTATACCAAAATGTCCTCTGTAAATTAGGTAAAATTCACTTGCAAAAACCATTTTGGACTAGTGGGTTTGTACTTTATATTTGCATTTGTTTTGCGTGCGTGTTACCATTTAATTTTTTTATTGGTTTTATGTCTTTTCAGATATTTGTTTCTTTGTAAATTTAGTACTTTTGTTTTTCTCAAAAGGGTGTTTCCTTGCTATTTCAAGTTTGGGAGCATAAAAATACAGAATTCTCTTAGGATTTTTAAAACCCTTTATCTTAATTATCCTGTTTTATATCTAATATTGTTTGTGCGTCCTCTTTTGCTGGATCAGTTTTTCCTGAGGTCTGTCTTACAGTAACTATACTCAGAAAAATGGACTTTGATTTGAGTGATTCTGTTGTTACTTTCTTCACAGTGATATTACTTTCACATATATTTTTGTTATTTCCTTCTACTGCTTTTGAGTTTATTAATTGGCTCTTTTCTAACTTAAGTTACTTAATTCATTTTTACTCTTTTCTAGTGGAAACGTGAGAATATATGTTCCTTTATGTTTTCATTGGTGTTCAGTTCATTTTAAACATTTTCATTGTGATTCCTTCCTTAACTAATAAGTTACTAAAAGTATATTTCTAAATTTCTGATTGATGGGTTTTCATGGTGCTATCTTTTAATCGTTTCTATTGTTACTGCATTGTAGTCAGAAAGTATAATCTGCTATGGATTTGTAAGTATTTGTTGAAGTGTTTTATAGCTTATTAAACATGGTTGTCTTTTGGTAAATATTTTGTGTGTACTTGGAAAGATTGAATATATATTCTCTATTTGTTAGATATAGGTTTCTCTATTACCCATTAAAATAAACTTGTTGATTGTGTTCGTGTCTTCTGTATTCTTCTAAAATTTGACTTCTTGAACTTGAGAGGAGCTATCAATTACATGAGCCATCAGTTACTGAGAGGAATCTACTAGTATGACCAAGGTTTTGTCGACTTCTAATTTTTTTTCTTAATGTATTCTGGGGCTCTATTATTCAGGTTCAGGAATGTTAAATCTACTTGGAGAATTACTTCTGCTATGTAATAACCCTCTTTACCTCTTAGACTTTGTTCCTTAAGGTTCTGTTTTGTCTGATGACAATATATCCGTGCCAGATGTCTCTTGGTTAGTTATTTTCTTGGTGTATCTTTTCCCATTCTTTTGCTTTCAACTTTTCTGTGTCATTATGTTTTAGGTGTGTCTCTTATAAACAGCATATAGCTGGATTTTGTTATCTTATCCAATGTGAAAATCTGTCTTTTAACTGGTGAGTTTTAGTCTTTTTATATTTCTTGTGGTTATGATTATATTTGAATTTGTTATCATTTAATGTGCTATTTTCCATGCATTTTATCCTGTGTTGCTTTTTTTCCCCCTCTCTTTTTTTAGTTGTTATTTAATTGATTGAATCTTCCTTTTTCTTTTACTTGACTGGAAGTCTTACATTTTATGGCTAGAATATATGCCTAGTCATTCCTGTAAAATGTTAGGAATCATTCTTTCCATCCTTTCTTGAACAGTACTTTAGAATGCTTTAACTTTTATCACTTTTCTCCACATTGAAAAGATTGTTTACTAGTTTTTTTTATATACTACTTTTTAGATCCTGTTCTTTTTATTCCCACATTATTTCCATCACTAACTCTTGTAGTAAATATTTATTTTGATTTACATGACTTACTTCTTTCCATTGCTTCTAGCAAGTTATTCTTTCCTTCTTACTAGTTGTTTTTCAGTGATGGCTAAGGAATGGGAAACATCTTCCATCTTCGTTAGTCTGAAATACTTTTATTTCACTCTTGAATGGTAATTTAGTCTACACATCTAAGCCAAACAAAACTTTTTCTTTGCCACATTGGCACTTATTTCATTTTTCTTTGACCTCTTCTCTTTACTTTGAAGATTTCCCCCTGCTTTTAGATGTTCTTTAGTTTTACTATAATGTATACAAATAGAGAAAAAGGTTACTTTCCACTGGTCTGATTCTCACTGGAAGCCCTTAAAAGGTTGATTTTATGCAGAAATCTCAACTGGAATGTCTTAAGGTCTCATCTCTTTGTCCTGTACTGGCAGTAACTCCTTTACTTATCTGAAATTCACCCACAGGGCTGCCACCCTCACCTCTCACTTGGCTCGCTCTTAGGGTTTCAGCCATCTGTTAAAAAACAAAATAATTATATTTTATCTAGCACATTCAAGTGGTGTGAGCTAAAGGGTTTTCCCATATATTTCTCTGTTATTTTTCTAGTACTAGGGTCTGGTCGTGCTCTTTATTGGTTTATCACACATTATAGGACAGTGTCAAATGGAATTACTGCATCAGCCCCATGTTGAGACATCATTCTCTGGGTTCTGTCTGTAGGCTCTAGATCCCTCACCTTTTATTCAGATTTTACCATTAGTTTCATCTTACTGTCAAATTTATTCTCAGTTGAACAGTGTAGCCTTTAGAATGGTATAACACAGATTGATTTTTCCCTCAGGAAAGAGGGAATTGGTAAAGGATACTGGCATTTGGAAAGAAGAAACCACTTAGAAATTTCCTTCCCATTCTCTACTTCAAGAGCCAGGATAAGATATGTTAATTCTTTGGCTGGAGAAGAGAATTGTGACAGTTCTATAAGAATTGCAGATTAGGCCCGCCCTGGTAGCTCAACAGGTTAAAGCACTGCACCATGGAGCTACATGCAGCCACTGCAGTTATCTGTTTTGATCCCTGGGAGGATCAAACCCATATGGCTAGGCTGACCGCTCTGGTCTCACCCACTGCTCCCCTCAGCAGTGTACTTCATCCAATCTGCCTGTTCTGCTCCCCGCTCTGTCTCTGGTGAATCCTCTCACCCTCCCCCGCCCTGCACTTCTGGACTGCATCTAGTTCTTATATACATAAATAAATCTTTTTTTTTAAATGCAGATTAAAGTGTTAGAAAGTCTTTCTTCTCTCATCTTGGGTCCACTAGTTAGGCCACATTGGTTTTATTTTCCTTGCCACTGACCATCTGCTACAGCCAACTTGTTCTCTCCCAATACTTGTTTTCACATTCTCAAGCAAACCATCCTGTTTTCTCTTTTATCTTAAGGAGCAGAATACTCCTCCCCTTATATTGGTTTGGTTGTCTATTTCCTAGGTAGTGAATTCAGAGCTGATCCTGCTGTAGTAAAGCTGTGTTCCTTAGCCTCTTAAGACAAGGGTCTGCTGGTCCTCTTTTGTTGTGTTCTCTGTCAAGCTCTGCACTACCTTGTCACTGTACTCTGCCATGTCTTAAGATTTTCTTTTATACTTTTAAACCTTTTTTTAAAAATACTTTTTAGAGCTTTTATACTTCTTGTACCTTTTCATTTATACTCTGCCATATCCTAGATCATGTATGTTATTTTCTTTAAGATTTCTTACAGAAGGCCTCACTTGGTCTTCCTTGACCTCCTTATTCTTTTTTTCTCTTGATACACAATTGTCCTATGTTGCCATGCATTTATGTTGCTGCTTTTGTCTGTGCACTTTCATGAAAGTCCCCCCCCCCCATTAGCTGGTGGACCATTGCTGTTTAATCCCATGAAGGACTGGAACTATTAGGTTTTTTATTCCCTTTTCCCACAAAACTGGCATTGTGAAGTAGGGAATAAGTTCCCTTTTATTTGTTGCATTATTTACAGTCTGAATAATAAAGTTTAATGAAATAATTAACTATAGCTGATTCTAAATGCCTCCTGGAACAGGGAAGTGTCCTTGACTGTGTCTTCTTGTTACATAATTACAGAAGCAGAGAAGGTTGCGCAAGTGGCAAAAATTCGGTTTCAACAAAAGGTCATGGAGAAAGAAACTGAAAAGCGCATTTCTGAAATTGAAGGTACATCAGGGAGAAAGAAGTTCTGACAGTCTTGAACTGCCTCTCTGACTGTTGTGGTAGTGGTGATGTGAGAGGTTTGCCTGGGTTGGTGGGGAAGCTTAGAATAATCCACTCTGGAGGAAATGACTGGCCTGATACTTTAGATGCATTTTTTAAAAATTGCTATAGTTTGTGATTATGAGTAGTTCATTTTCTTTCCTTAATTTAGGGCTTATTAGCAATTACTTTGTTGTCAGACAGTAAGGGAATGACCTATAATCAGTTGGAAAGGCTATACAAAATAAAAGCATTTCCATTCATCAGTTTCTTCTACCTGTCAACTCCCCCCTCCCCCAAAAAAAATCTGTTGCAAAAAACAGAAGGTTCCAATTTTCACAGAGGCTCTCAAACTCTTTAATTTTACCGAGTGAGATGGTGGTGGTCTTAGCTCCCAAGTCTTAAAGACCGAACATTCAGCCTCTATTTGCTTATATAATGCTGCTTTCTGTCAGTCTGCATGAAGTAGTTTCTGAATCAAATTTAAAGGCAGTGGACAGTGCAGTAAATAGAGCAGAATTTTCTTGTCTGGACTTAGTTATTTTACTTGAAGGCCTAGAGCTTGGGAGGGGTATAGGCTTTGAAGTATGTGGGCATAGAGGAAAGGAGGAGCAGCTTTAGGTAGAGAATGAAATGGCTTCAGATGAACTGAGAATTACTTGACACTGGCAAAAATATTCCCCATTGGAGGAAACTCTCTGGGGACTGAGATTTACAAACTGCTAATGCCATCATATGCTTTTAAAATAAAGTAAGGTATGGATGCAGGGAGTGGAGAGAGGGCTCCTATTTAGCGTGGAGTCTGAACTCTTACCCAGCTGAGGAAATGTATTGGCAACTTCCCTTTGTTTTAAGCACCCTGACTCTGCTTTGCTTGCTAGATGCTGCGTTCCTGGCCCGAGAGAAAGCCAAAGCAGATGCTGAGTACTACGCTGCACACAAATACGCCACCTCAAATAAGGTGCCAGCATGCCGCTCTCCTAGTGATGCAGCTGGGGTTTTGCTTTTCCTTACGGGGGCCTCTAGGTGATACAGATGGTTTTATGTAGTGTCAAGGAAGGGTAGTTTCTGCCATGCCCTTTAGCTTAGCCAGTCATTTAACAAGACATAATGCACACTCACTGGATAGGGAACTTTGGATAGTTCATTAGAGAAGAGGGCAAACTAGAACAAAGGCAAGCAGGTATATAAGAGCAGGTCAAGTACCGTAATTCAGAATAGTTAAAAGTCACTCATGGGAGTGGCAGGAAAAGAAAAAAGTTCGTTTAAAATTGATACCCAAGTAAAGTTGAATTTTGGGTTAGATACAGTATTTCTACTCAGACATTCTTGGTATTTTGGGATAAGCTGTTTTTTCATTGTTGAGAAACAATCTCATGTGTTGTGGGGTGTTGTGGGTCCCTTTGCCTATTAATGCCAAAGTATTCAAAAATAATTTTAACATCCACCTTACATACACACACACGTACACATGCATGTTTTCAAAATAACCCAAGCTGAGTATTGCTTGCTTGTTCAGTTTTTTAAATATTCTGGTCATGAGGAATTTTGTGTGCAATAACTTGAGAAAGGTTACATGGTATATGGGTGAACAGGTTTTGTATAGGGACTGGTATAAATTGACTAGAAAGTGCAGGCTTTCTTAGTGGAAATTATTTAATTAAGAGGCAGCCTGAATGCTGCAGTATTCTGAAAAGGGATGAATATGACCAAGGTTTATGAGATAATAATTTTAGAGTAGACTGGAACTGAGAAGGAGTTGAGGAAGAGGTTGCTAAGCTATATGATATATTTTGAATGATTACAGAGTTTAGGCTATAAACAGGGCTTAAATTGAAAGTTGAAAGGAATTCAGTTGAAAGGTAGAAAGGAACAATATAATCTATAGTCAGAAGAAATAAGACATGATAGGTCCACAGAATGACAGTTGTCAATATTTTGAAATGCAGTATAAATTTAGAAATAAATTTGAGGGGCCCTCCCTGGTGACACAACAGGTTAAAGCGCAGGACTGTGAAGCTAGCCACAGCCACTTCAGCATGAGTTCCATCTTTGGCCAGGGAGGTGACCTACAGGTGACCTCTCCTGTCTTGCCTGCTGCTCCCCTCAGCAGTGTATTTCAGTCAATCTTCCTGTTCTGATCCACACTCTCTGGTGAATCCTTTCACCTACACCTCTGACCTGTACCCCAGTTCTTCTATGCATAAATAAATAAATCGTTTTTAAAAAGAACTTGACATAATTGGAACTACAGCTCTATAGAAACGGAACAGAATTTGAAGAAGATGAATGCAAAATGAGAAAGTAGTATTTTATAAACTAGCAATCAGAATCTGTCGTGGGAGAAACTGGCCAGGGACAAATACCTGAGATCTTGCCATTGAGGTCAGCTGTGTGCCAAAAGGGGGAATTTTCCATTTTCAGAAATGCTACTTGATACTGACCTATATTAACAGAACTCCATGACCAGATTTGATGGCATATTTGACAGGATATGAAGAGGGGATTGGGAATAACATCCAGAGAGTGAAGGATGTAGGGCAGTGAAGGACAAGATGGGCTTTTGCCTGGAGGACAGACAGGCACTCAAGCTGGGGAGTAACCAGTAATAGTAAAGTTTCTTTCTGAGTCCTTGGGGACACTGGAAATTAGTTTTAATCAAAACTATTCCAAAGAACGTTGAATTTTAATCAAACCCAGAGAGATTTTGGTTGGTTGTATCTTGGCAGCATGACTTAAACAAAACACTATGTATGGTAAGAGAGATCTGGTGTGGTTTGCACCTCTTGTTTTCCTGCCATCAGGTCGGTGGCCTGCTGGGAAATGCCCCTTGCCACCTAACCAGAGATTCCTCATAGAACTTGCTAATCACTATTTACTGCATTAGTCGGCTCAGAGAGAACTTGACTGAAGTTTGGGGTGAGAAGAAACCTTTACTTTGAACCAAACCTCTGGGACCCTGCATCCCCCTCTCCCAAGTCACCTGTCCTTCACAGTTACATAGTTACCATCTGAGGAGGCAAGAGGCCAGAACAGGTAATTTCTTGGGATCTTTTCCACTTCCAGAATGTAGTCAAGAAAAACAGACTCCCAGAGAACTGACTATAAAGTCATGCACCTAAGTCCTGTTTTTGATGCTCTGTCACTGTCATCTCTTCCCCTGTTCATTTCTCTCAGGAGCGCCAACTGAAGTCCTGATGGGTTCCAGGTAGAATTTAGCCACATGAAATGAGAAAGTATGTAAGACTGGACACTAAAGGCTCCAAGTCACTATAGAAATGTCATTAAAATTACTAAATTGTCATTAATTGTTCTCCAAACTCCCTCCCCACTCCCATCCTCTTTTTACTAAAAATGACTAGTTTCTCCTGCATTAGGACAGGAACTTGTGAAGGAACTTCAAGTGTGCAGTGTAGCTAGCTAGCTCTTGGTGGGATAGCTGCAGTTCACAGTGCAAGAGGGTCATTGGCAACAACTCAGAACTGAGTCAGACACACTTTGGGGAGCTGTTGGGGAAATGCTGATGACTAAAGAGATGACTGTTGCACAGGAGTGTCCTGACTCCTTACTCTGTTTCCCCCACAGCACAAGTTGACGCCGGAATATCTGGAGCTCAAAAGGTACCAGGCCATTGCTTCTAACAGTAAGATCTACTTTGGCAGCAATATCCCTAGCATGTTCGTGGACTCCTCTTGTGCTTTGAAATATTCAGACCTCAGGACTGGAAGAAAAAGCTCTCTCCCCTCTAAGGAGGCTGTTGAACCCTCTGGGGAGGGCCCCATCCAAAACAAAGAAAGCACAGGTTGATGCAAGAGGTAGAAATGTTCTACCATACCAGTCTGTGACCCAAGGGGTTAAGTGGGAACAATGGTTATACAACTCTTCAGACTTAGTGGGAATTTGCGCCGTCTGTTCTGCCTCTCCTGTGGTCGTCCTGATTGCAGGATGCAGCCAGCTGCCTGGCCCCCAGATGGTCTTGTCAGCCACAGTTTCATAATTATCCTGTATGTGTTCTTTTCTAAACTGGTACTTGTGATTGAGGGAAAGTCTGATGCTAAGATACTGCCTGCACTGGAATGTTAAACACTAAATACATTACAAGCTGTGTTTTTCTAAGCTGACATACGAATAATGTTTACATTGGTACCCGGGGAAATGTGTGCTCAGCCATTCAAGAGACACCAGAGAAAAGACGCCAGGATGTGGTAAGTGTGAAGAAGACTGGTAACACCTGGACCCAGGAGCTCTTTGGGTTCCAGTACCAGCCTCCATTCATGAGGTTAACATCTGGTCTGCTGAAGTTCCCAGGAAATGATCTTCCACTTGAGCAACCATTTACTTGATATGATTTGCACCTTTTGTTTTCCTGCCATCAGGTCGGTGGTCTGCTGGGAAATGCCCCTTGCCACCTAACCAGAGACTCCTCATAGAACTCGCTAATCACTAGTTTACTGCATTGGTTGGCTCAGAGAGAAATTGGTTGAAGTTTGGGGTGAGAGGAAACCTTTACTTTGAACCAGTTTGCATCTGGGGCCCTGCATCCCCCTTCACTGGGTGATGACTGACTTGTGTTCCCGCCTCAGGCCAAGAGTGACTTAAGGGGCCTGGTTTTTAGTTCATGGACAGCTTTTTATATGTCACCTCTTAGCTCTGGCTGGCCAAGAGCAGGACAGAGCTCTGCCCAGACGGGAGCAGCATGCAGTTCTCACTGTTCACTGCACAGTATCGTGTCATAGTTGCAGGAAGTTTTTATGTTTGAAACTGGACTTGGGATACATTCATTTGCCCTGCCACCTCTGCCTGAAGGTGAAATCCTAGGGCTGTTGTGGTCAGCACAGACTGCTCCTTACTGTTGTTTGTCAGGTACCCACATAGTATGGAACAACGTAACTTAGAAAGTAACCTTGGGCATCTTTTTCTGTTTCCCTCCCGGCACTGAGATACTGAAATCAAAGTTGCTTTTCCAAATCAGAAATCCACTAGCTCCTGGCAGTCAGTGGATCAAATCTTCCATGAAAGATGACAGAAGTAGCCTGTGCTGTGGGAGACCTTTTATCTGAACCCTTTTCCATTAAGATAAACTTCCCAAAATCATGTGTGCCATCGTTAGGCCTGAGTTTGTGCAGCTGGTTAAACACCTTCTGTATGCACTATGTGGAGTGAGACAGAAAACATGGGCCATGTCCAGAAGCCTTCAGCCGGCTGACAGTCCTCTCTGTCTTGTAACAGCATATGGGTTGTGCCAAACACTGTTTGGGAAAAGCTCAGGTTTCAGTGGGTCTTTTCCCTGGGCCTTAAACTATAGAGGCATTTGTAATGTGGAGAGAATCATTTTTTTGTTTTGGCCCACTTTATTAGATACATTTTCTTTATGAGTGTATTTTGTGTTTCTAGCCCTCCTTAAAAGAACTGTTTTGAACTGTAGAAACTCTTCACCTGTCATATTGTTGCTGCAGATAAAAATGGTTACTGTGGGGTGTCTGGATCGTTGCCCTCTGTGCTTTCACTCCTAACGATGCTTCCTACTCATGTGAGCTAAAAGCGTTTGCCCCAACTCGCTGGATGTGGGTTTTCTAACAAACCAGCCTTGGTGGCAGAGTAGAAGAACAGGGATATAGCATTGTGAAGTTTTAAATAAAGTACTTCCACTTGAACTCCCACGGAGAGTGCTTCCCTGTGCTCGCTCAGTGAGCTCCAAGTCTATCCCTCCTTCAGGGATATTCCTTTTGGCAAATATACACTGTAATCTTGAGGTCTAAATTTATATGTGAAATGCTACCTTTTTTAAAAAGAAACTAAATAAAATTATTTTACTATCAATGATGTGTTTTTTGTTTTGTTTTTGTGTCTTATCTTTCCTATTGTCTTAACCTGTTACTGTGGCCGCCTTGCCAATTTCAATTAGGTGGCTTAACTGAAGATGCTTTTCTTATATATTCTGGAATATTGCTTCCCTGGTCTAAGAATTTTAAAAGCAGGGTATCCACTCTGAGTGTTCTGCCCCTCAGAGACTCCCTAAGAACCGAGATTCCCCTTATTCCAGGAATAGAAACGGCTATTACTGCACGTAGAGGAATTCAGTATCCTACATGCAGAGGTTACAGCTGGCAGCGGTATAGCACAGCTAACTTTGGTAATTCAGGTGTTGGCCCAAGAAGCAGACTTGGGCCTGCCCTCCCCAGCTCTGTTTCCTGGGAACAGTTTCTCAGTGATGTTAGGACAGCAGGGAATTTTGTGATTGGAGTCTGGGAGAAAACAGCCCTTTCTCAGGTTCCTGTAGGATACTTTGCTCTAGAATGCTGCCTCTGCTGTTGCAGATTAGGAAAATTTAATGTCATTGTCATTAAGTTCTCGGAAAAAAAGAATTTTAAACCAACAATGTGTATATATATGGAAAGCGGGTCCTGAAAGATGGGCTAAGATTGTTTTTTTTCTCATCAACATTACAATGTATCCTATAGGCTATCAACAGGTATTAAAGTGATTCAGAATAAAGTGACTTCTGCCTCTTGCTATCAGGAAGGAATTTCATGAATTAGAAGCTGTGACTTTAGGTTCCAATCCCAGATGTGTGCACATTAGTCTATGTGGTCAGGCCTTCACCAGTCTCACATCAGAATGTACCTCTTCTCTGTCCCTTTGCGTTATGTTGTTCCATCTGCCTGGCTCACCTTTCCTCCAACTAATCTTTGCTAACTTTCAGTGAGTCTTCAGAGTGGCCACCCCGAGCTGCTTGCTGAGGTCAGCACCCACATTCCCTACCTTTGTAGTGCCCTGTTTACCTCACATCTGTTTTATGTCTGATCTCACAATGTTTAGCTCTCTAGGGACAGGGCCTGTGAACAAACTCTTCCCTGGGGTGGTGTCTGTTACTTGTGCTCACACATTAGCTGGCCATAGGAATTTGTTGCATGAAAGAAGAATGTGAATGCAGCTTAGTAGTGGGAAGAAGGAACATAGAAGTTAGGCAAGAGTCCACATCAGGACTTAATGTATAACAGTGGGAAGTTATTTAATGTCTCCAAACCTGCTTACTCATCCTTCAGGACTGGGTCCTGCAAGATACATTTATGAAGGTAGCAGAGATTTACATGTAGTAATTGCTGGGGTACATCAATTCACCTGTATAGGAATTGGGGTTTCTGTCACTGAGTAGACCAAGTTCCTATAATGGAGAGCACGATGTCCAACACATACAAGAGCTTCAAAAGCACATTGGATTACTTCTTCAGCACTAAACTAAGCTAGCAGGATTTTACTCCATGACCACAGCCACCCAGGAACATCTTAAGCTGAGCCAGCTTCTCAGCATTCTTCTGGTCTCTCTGTATAACCATTTAAAATTAATTTTCTGTTAATTCATCGCTTATTTCAAGTGTCCTTCATCACAGACTATGGCTTAGCGTGGTATTTTTTTCCTTAATATTTTTCTTTGGAATTAGTACATTTCCAACTTTTTTTTTTTTAAAGATTTATTTATTTGTTCATACAGAACTGGGGTACAGGCCAGAGATGTGGAGGGTGAGAGGATTCATCAGGGACAGAGTGGGGAGCAGAACAGGCAGATCGATGAAGTACACTGCTGAGGGGAGCAGTGGGCGGGTCAGGAGAGGTCTGCCATGCCATGTGGATCTCCCAGGCAGGCGGGGATCGAACTCATGCGGAAGTGGCTTAAGCTTCTTAGTGCAGTGGCCCTGCGCCACCAGGGAGGGCCATTTCCAACTTTTTGTATCCATTTTCAACTTACCATCTTTTGCAGGTAGAATCTTTTTAAAGTCATTTTGAAGCCCTACTCAAAGTATTTGGAGATGGGGCCTTTGGGAGGAGTCAAGCTGAGGAAGAATCCTCAAATGGGAGTGGTGCCCTTACAGAAGAGATACAAGACAGAAGTCCCTCGGCCATTGAAGACACAGCAAGAAGGTTACCAACTGCGAACTAGGATGAGTTCTCAGTAGATACCCAATGTGCTAGCAACTGGAACTTGGGCCTCTCTGGAACTGTGACAAAGGTTCGTGGTTTAAGCTACCTACTTATGGAATTTTGTTCACAGTAGCCTGAGCAGATGGGCACACCATCTTCTGTTCTTTCCCTTCTAGAATAACTTCCTTTCATATTATTTATTTAGGTATCATAAATCCTACACCTGGGCCCTCCCCGGTGGTGCAGTGGGTAAAAGCGCAGCAGCATGAAGCTTGTGGCAGCTGCTTCAACATGAGTTCAATCCCCAGCCAGGGAGGTGACCCAGATGGTGTGGCAGATCGCTCCTGACCCGCCTTCTGCTCTCCTCAGCAGTGTTCTTCAGTCTGCCTGTTCTGCTCCCCACTCTCTCTGAATCTTCTCACCCTTCAAACCTCTGGCTTGTACCCGAGTTCTGTATGCATAAATAAATAGATCTTTAGGAAAAAAGAAAACCTACATTTACAAAAAACTTACACATTTATAGCAGCTTTATTCATAGTTGTCAAGGCTTAGAAGCAATGAAGCTGTCCTTCAATACATGAATGGAAAAATAAACTGGTATATACAGACAATAGACTGTTAATCAAAAGAATCTAAAAATCAACCATCAAGCCATGAAAAGACATGGAAGAAACTTAAATGCACTTTTACTTTACTAAGTAAAAGAAACGAATCCAAAATGACTATACATTGGAAGGTTCTATATATGGAAGGTTCTGAGCCAGAACCTGGAAAAGACAAAACCTTGGAGACAGTGAAATGATCCGTAGTTTCCAGATTGGGGAGATGGAGGGATGACTAGCCAGAGCAGAGGGGGTTTTTAGGGTCGTGAAACAGTTCTGCTTGCCACTATAGAGACAGATGTGTGTCAATCTGCTATTGTCAGACTCATAAGCAATACACTACACGTGTGAATCTTCATGTAAGCTGTGGACTTCGGGTGATTATGATTTGTCAGTGTCGTTTCCTCTTTCTTAACAAATGTATAATGGTGCTAATTGCACAAAATTGTGACTGCCTTTAATGCCACTGAGCTGTATATTGTAAAATGGTAAATTGTATGTATATCTGACCACTTTAAAAATGCTCACTAAGTGCCCTCCCTGGTGGCACAACAGGTTAGGAAGCAGCACTGCAAGCGGCCTCAGCTGCTTTGATCCCCGCCCCGGAAGCGACCTACATGGCAGACAGACCTCTCCTAGCCTGCTCACTGCTCCCTCAGCAGTGTACTTCATCTGTCTGCCTGTTCTGCTCCCCACTGTGTCTCTGGTGAATC